GTTGTGGTCGCGCTCGGCCTCTCAGGAGGCCGCGGTCCGGGCAGGCGGCGCGGTTTTTCGGGAGTCCGGACTATTTCGGGGCCGCGAGGCTTGTCGTGCTCCGTCCCCCTGCTTCCTCCCACCACCACACCCCTTTGAGGTAGGCCGGGCGGATCGCGAAGCCGGTCTCCCCAGCACGTCAGCCTCAGGGGCTCTCTCCCTTCTTCTGCCCCGCCGTTCCTTCAGGAGCTCGAGGCGGCATCGATGGTGCTTCCTCCTCCTGTTATTCCCCGCAACAACAATCCTGCGAGGTAAGCCGGGCGGAGGTGAGGACCCGGCTGCGAAGTCACTGAGGGGGCTTCTGAGGGAGGCCTGGATCCCGGGTCCCCGCGGTGCCAGTTGAGCGCCTCCCCCGGACCGCACTGGGCCTGGGGCTGAGAGGGAGGGGCCGGCCCAGAGCCCCCCCGGGAATCTCCGCAGCTAAGGGAGGCTGGGCCTGGCTCTCCCCGCTTCACATGAAGCCACCCCGGTGTCACTTGGAATATGCGGATAGCCCTCACGTCGGTATCGGCTCTTAGCAGCCTCGTATATAGATTTTCTTCAAGAGGATCTATCTGAATATGTAGAGGTTAATAATAGCATATGTTTGGTAGTTTGGCTATTATTGCTGCTACTACTATCATCCTTCTCCCACATCAATCCATTGCAAGATAAAAGCCTCCTCATTAAAGGTTATGGACCCACTCGCTCTTGGGCTGAGGGAGAGATTGGCCCCGAGTCCCCCCAGACAGCATCTGTGGCTGAGGGAGGACTTGAACCCAGGTCTCCTCACTCCCAGTCTGGCACCTTCCCCACTACATGTTTTGGGTGTGGTTCTTTCCCTCCTTCCTTTGGCAAGCAGGAGAGAGAAAGAGACTAGAAGTCCTGTGAAAGAAATAAAAAACAGTAGCTGTGAGTTTTATGTATTTTATTACGGTTTTTTAAATATGCTTTTATATTGATTTTTTTCCTTGTTTTTAAATGATTGTCTCGTTCTTTTCTGTTGTTCTTATATTTGTTCTCATTGTTTATAAGCCACCCAGAGTCCTATATAGGAGATGGATGGCTATATAAATTTGAATTAAAAACATAAAAAAACAACAATTTTTAAATTTAATATCTTTATTTTTTGTAACAAAACAGACTAATCTTAAAAATAAATAAATAAAATAAAATACTGAAATAAAACTAAGAAGGAAAAGAAAAAAACTTATATTTTGTACTTATCAATAGTCACTGGTTTACCTAAAACAATACAACAAAATAAATGTAAAACAAAAAGCATTAAAACCAATAAAAAACCTTAAAAACTATAAAAATAACATAGTTATAATAATGTTTTTATCCTGTCTTTATATATATATTCGACTCAAGGCAGCAAACATACTTAATACTCCAGCCTCCTATTTTCCCTAGAACAACAACTCTGTAAGGTGGGTTGGGTTGAGAGAGTGACTGGCCCAAAGTCACCCAGCTAACTTTCATGCCTAAGGGAGGCCTAGAACTCACAGTCCCCTGTTTTCTAGGCCAACATCTTAACTACTACACCAAACTGTCTCTCATAATAATAAAATAATAGATCTTATGGGGAAAATGAAAGAAAGGAAATTGAATGAGGTGGATCTCAAGAAACAAGAGGAAGGCTGTGTTTGCATGCTGACTGGGACCCCACCTAGGCTGCAAAGCTCTGGGCAACCACCAGGGGGTTCAAGGTTTCTAGGCTCTTTGGTGCCCTCTAGCAGTTGTTCAGATCATTGCAGCCCAGATCTGGTGCCTTATCTAGAATACATTTGTCTATTTTCATCATGATCATGGTTTACTCATTTAACCTAGTTTTCTTGCATCATACCTAAGATAAAATGTAATTGATGAGTTTGTGGTGTATTGGGTGGGCACAGCTCAGAAGGGAATTGCCTGGAATTGCCTCATTAGAGAAAATTCAAAGCCTTCCATAGTTCAGAGGTCTCTGTTAGGACAAACCAACATTTCACAAAAGAATTGAGGATGGTTTTAAGTTGCTCAGAGCATTTAATAAAGTTGGCTGTTAAGAGTTTGGGCTGGGTTGTGGAGCAGATTAATTTTAACACTTACAAATTGACAGATTAATGGCTTCAACAAAAAAACGTTCTTCTGCTTTCCCATCCCTGTTTCGTTTATCCATACTGAAGAAGAACTCAACATTTTTTGATGTTTTTATTACAATTAAATAAAATATTGCCTGACTATATATTCCAAAATAAATGTTCAGCTTCCTTGAGGTCTTGAAGGAATGTTAGAATATACATTTAACAAATAAGAATAAATCATGTTAGACATCTATTCTAAACTTACAGGTAGACCTTGCTTAATGATTGCCCTGTTTAGCGACCGTTCAACGTTACAATAGCGCTGAAAAAGTAATTTTACCACCAATCCTCGCATTTACGACCATTGCAGTGTCCCCACAGTCATGTGATTAACATTTGGGCACTTTGCAACCACCTTCTGACAAGCAAAGTCAGTGGAGAAACTGGCAGTAAAATTGCAAGTTGTGCCACATGATGTCTTGCTTAACAACCCATGGTTACTCATTTAATGATCAAATAGGAAATGATGATGTAAGTCCATTGTGGTCACGTGATGTTTCACTTAGTGACTGTGTTGCTTAGTAACGGAGTTGCCAATCTCAATTGTGGTTGCTAAGCAAGGACTACCTGTACTTGTCACAAAGATTGCCTTTTTTACCCTGCACCATGTGCATATTAAGCTGTGAAAAGTTGGCAAGTAATTTTATATGTAGCTTGTCCTGCATCCTTTCTCAGTGATATTTTGTGCAATAGTTTGCAAACTCTGGTAGTTCCCATTCTATGGAATATACTGCCCCTGTGATGTTTTTGGCCTCTACACTCCTCGCATATTAAAAGGCATTGAAAACCTTGCTTTTTAAATGGGCTTTTGATGCCTATTAATCAACGTTGAGACTTACTAGTGTTTTTTTAACAAATTGATAGATTTTATGCTGTTTTTATCGGAAGGGCACTGGTGGGTTTTATTATATTGTTTTGGAACAATCTGTGCCTTATGAGAGGACAGTATAAGAATGAAAATTAGGTAAACAAACACAGAAATAGTTTGCTGTTTCTGGGATGTCTTCCTCTGGGATGTTTTTCTGACTTCCAGCTGAGTTTGCAGCCCTGGGATTTCCTGGGACTAGCCAAGTCCAATCCTGTTGTCCCTTTAACAGATACTACATATAGTGCTAATATGGTGATTGCTTACTATATTCTAGGATATTTAAGAATAAATACATTGGCAGACAGCCTTTTCATAATGACATTGAAGAGTAATTTTCTTCTCAATTTTGTAGTTTATTTAGAATACATCCTGCTTTTCCACCAAAAGCCCCAAATTTTCTAAAAGTACTGTTCCAAAAAAAAAAAAATAGCCCATGAAGAAAGAGTGTGTGGGAAGAATATGCTGTAATACAAAATTTTAAAATGCCAGACTAAAAACCATATTCTAGGTTGCCAATTTATCCCATGTTGGTTACTCTGACAATCAGCTGCTCACTCAGGCTGAATTCACATATTCTAGACTGAAGAAAATCTGATTTGTTTAGTTTTGGCTTATGTAGAGAGTAAGAAAGTTGACTTTCACAGAAATATGCAAAAGGGACTGACACATTTATTAAGTCCAGAGAAACAAGATAACTTTTGGAAGCAGCTCAAGCAGACGCCACCCTGATTTACTGCGATGAAGGGGAAGGAGATACAGTACAGACTTGCAAGATTCCATTATTATAGCCAATCCCAATAAAATAGTTTTAGTCTTCCTATGGAGTTGATTTCCTAGTATGATCTACCTGGTGGGGCTGACAGCTTAACATATGTGAACCAAAAGAATTAACTTGGAGGGTTGATGGAAATAGAAGTTAAAGACAATAGGTAAGATGGATATACAAGGTCAAGGAAATAACTGAAAAGTTCTTGGAAAAGCTACAGGTTGATTGCTAGAAAATGTTCTTGCAATCATCAGGAGCTGAACCCAATTCAGTAGTACATAACTATTAAACCCAGCAACTATTTTGGGAACCATAATTTATGCTTAGCCAATAATAAAGCATAACTCGGCAATCCATGGAAAAAACAAGAAGGACAGGACATAGGAGGTTATTCAAAAAGAGGAAACAGACATAGCATCTCAAGGAAGAAGTGTGTTCTTAAAGACCTGACACAAACCAATGAACAAATCAAGAGAAGGTCCACTGATGCTGATCAATCAACTTGAAGTTCTGGAGATGGAAGGTGAGCTTCAATACAGGGTAATCTTATCATCCCAACATCTAAAGAACAATGTAAAGGATTCTCAACTCCACAGGGATCAACAAAAACAAAGTTCTCCACTGAGGAGGAAAGGAAGAGTATTGGTAGTGATGGTGAGATATTGAGAAGGATAGAAGCAAATAACTAACTGTATATTTTGTAAGATATGAGCTGTCTTCCTGATGCATGCATCCAGGTAAAGTGGAAAGATTACCAAGCTGCATCAAAACTACTAATCGCAATTTACCCCTGCTTACCCATGCGTGGACAAGCAATACTTCTAGAAGAGGACAAATACTTTAGGGGGTATTACTTTAGACCAGTGTTTCTCAACCTTAGCAACTTTAAGACATCCCAGAATTCCCCAGCCACCATGTCTTAAAGTTGCCAAGGTTGAGAAACACTCCGTTAGAGCATAAAATCAGCTAGGAAGTGAAGAGGCTGGGGGTGAAAATAGTGTTTTTATCCATTCCTCATTGATGGTGAAGGGAAAGCAAGATCCTGAAAGTGAATAGCTAATTAAGAAAATTGTATAAAAATTGGGATTCCTAGACCATTCTTTTCATCACTGGTCTTTTAGCCAGAAATGAGCTACAGACAGTCCCCGACTTGTAAACTTTC